TTTGATATCATTGACACATACAAAACACTTAGTAAAAATTATTTTCAGCATTCACGATGTACAAATATACCTTGATCTATATATATACAGCGTGTCGTTACCATCGCGACAATAAATGAACACGCATATAGGGGATAACATTTTAAAGTTGTATTAAACATTTAAATTCTTTAAACATCAATATTTACAGAGTTATTAGTTAGAGAATTTTAGAACACCCTTACCTATAAAAGCGTAACGTAAAGTTCATTTGTAAAGGTCACAAAGCATATGAATGGGTTGAATGAATTTAAAAGAGACAAAACATACTGTTAGAAGGAGAGGCTTGTAATACGACGCTGTGACGCGAGTTGTATAGGATGTTACAAATTTTGTTTCTTTTTTACTTTATTAGTTTGTTTGAAAAATATTTTTTTTAATTATGGATTTTGTTTAACGTTAATATTATTTTATGATTATTGGCAAGTAGCGTTAGACGTGTGTTCATTTATTGTCGCGATGGTAACGACAAGCTGTATATATCCGAAGTTATTTGACATTCATTCTGTAGGTAGGTTCTTCTTTGTATAGGGTGAAAGGTGAAAAGTTTCCAAACGAGCAGCCAGCTCACCTGATGTTAAGTGAATACCGCCGCCCATAGTCATCTGCTACACCCCAGGGTTTGCAGATGCGTCCCCCTCCGACCGGGTTCCCGCCTTGACGTGGCGGGGGGGCTTAGTAGCCGTGGCTTGGTCCCCCACGGCGAAGCTAAGAGGAACCCACACTGGGCCGGCCTGTGGTATAAGGCCGGCCCGAGCGGGCCGCTCCGAGTGGGCTCAATGAGCCTACTCTAGATGCGTGCTGGAGGGTGCAGGGGACAGGTCGAGGGTGGTAGAGGTGGAGGAGCCACTCTCCCTGTCTTTTGCTACCGAGGAGGAGTCGCGGGGGAAGAGGAGTGTCGGTATTGCGTTGGCCGTGCTCCCTATCCTCCACGACTCGGCGGGGCTGCACCGCTGATGCAGCTGTGGTGGGGCTGCGGGGGGAGAGGAGTGTCGGTATTGCGGTGCGCCGTTCCGCGGCTGAAACGTGGTGAGCGGCGGAGCCACAGACCAGGTCCGCCGCTGGGGGCTGAGAGGTTTACTGCTTATTAGCACTGGCTCTCCTGGCTCCCATGGGCCCGTTCAGCGAACTCGGGGGAGTTCGTTGGCCGTGAAATTGGGGCCGACTAGGAAGGCGCGCTGGAACATTCAGCGCGCCTTCCTAGTCGGCCCCAATTTTTACCTGGAGGAGAGGGGAGTTGCTCCCCGTGAGGGGGCTGCTAAGGCGGCCAGCGCTGGCAGGGTCGCGGAAGTGTGCGAAAGCGTTCCCGTGACCCTGCCGATATGCGCCTAGGTGTAACATCGTGGGGGTTTTAGTCGGTGCGAGTTCAACATAATCCGCTCTTGCCCCCGCGAGGGCGGGTATGCGTAGGCATTTCCCCCACATCCACTTTCAATATAACCACAGAAAAAGATAGTAAAATTACGAAGATTGAAAGGTTACAAAGTCGCTATACGTTTTGCCTTCGTATGGCCATTCGGTGGACTCTATCCGCTAAGCCAACATTTGGTGGATTTAAAAAATACTCTAAATGATTTTTTAACGAACTAAAATATTTCAAAGTAATTGAAGAGTATGGTAAATTGAGAAACAGAACAGTAAGGCTACTTGGCCTCATACAAGATTTTATATCATCATAAAATTAACACAAAGATTAAAAAACCGTTAGGAAATAACTAATTGACTTGATGACATTGCATATAATTGATTATCTATTCACAAACGGCTGCTTGAGCTCAGTGGGGTGGTATGCTGTAGGACTTATTAGTAAATCCGACAAATAGTATGCTAATATTAGAACCAATTTCGAGCAATATTGAGCCCGACCGCAATGCAGCCAACCTCCCAGTGCCCTTCGGAGAGTGCATAAAGGAAATACATAATATAATTCCTCCCTGCCCCTTATTTTACTCGGTAGCTAAACACTTAGGCCTCCATCTGTTTGTTGTCGACATTCCCGCAATCTAACTAAAAGGTTTGCCTTCAGTTAAAACATACAGCAAAGGAGTGGAATAATTTGCCACTAGTTGTTTTTTTTTCTTAGAGTACATAGTAAGCTCTTTTACATTATATTGATTGTTAAATAATAAAATAACAACCCTACGGTGGTAGGGCCATGCAGCAGTCTCGGCTGTTGCACGAATGGGCAGGCCCGTCCGGGTAAGTACCACGACCTCACAGAAGACCTGCGTAAAGTGGAAGTATGACAAATACTTTCGCGTTTCGTCCGGTGAGTGAGGTAGCCGGAACCCAATTTTCAAAAGGTTGTCAACGCATCTGTAACCCTCGGGTGTAGCAGATGGCCATGGCCGGCGGTATTCACTAATCATCAGGTGACCCTTCTGCTCATTTGGCAACTTTTCGCATAAAAAAAAAATACTTATTGATTAAGGCTAAACACATAACGATGGAGTGACAACACATGTTAATGTGCGGGATGCAAGTGGCTCAGGATCGTGCTTCGTCACCGTCTATGGAGTCGCGTGGTAGACTATGCCCTGTCCAGAGAAGGCCTTTGCTTCTTCTTCAACTTCAAAAATTACTTTAAATTATATAAAAAAATCTCGACTCGACTTGCCGAATAAAATTTTGTAAACAACACATTTGCTTGCTTGCAACTTCGTTACTCTTCCACAGTAAACTCTGTTTTCCTAAACGCGCCTCAAAAAGTATGACTTCAAATATTTAATAAAATTACAGAAAAACATAATTGAAAAGTAAGTATTATTTTGAAGCACCATTCTGTTACAATCTCTGTAAATTATTCAAAAGCAAAACTGTTCGTTATAAAATTCGAATGTAGCAAAATACACAATATATCGTGAAACGTACTAATCTTAAGATCGTATTATATAATGATAAATCTCTATCTGTATGAATATTCATTGAGATAATGAAAGCGTCGTCTACTCGTCGAATCCTTCATCTAATCCATAATTGATTTCCGACTGAGTTCGATGCTGTGGAATGACGGTAGTGAGTGCCAAAGATCCCACTGCTTCCTTTGGGCGCGAATTGGCCAATGTGAACTTAAAATATTTAATAAATTTGAACTTTTGAGAGGGAGACCGCAACTCAGTAAAAATTTATTGAAGTCAAAACTTAAACAGTTGTTTCTTGATGAATTATCATTGGAGTAGTCGTTTATTTATAACAGAAGTATATCATTCTTTTAATTAGTGCTTGTGTTGGTTATAATTATAGTATAAATAAATACTTAATAAATGTGTATAAAGCATATAAGTAAATTACTAGTATACTTAGATGATATTACGTTGAAAATCAAGAGTGTCTCGCCATCAAATGTAAAAGTTTGGCGAGAATAACTAAGTAATAAAAAGTAAGAATGTAAGCCTAGTCTTTGTACATTTTTATTATTTTTTTTATTTATTAATAAATTTCAAAAATATGAATGAGTAACACCAATCCTCAGTTCTATTACTTGATGAATCAATACATATAAAATTGTTATTAAATCTTGTTAAATCAATACATATATGCTTACTTTTTATTGGGGATTATTAACTTACATTATGGATCAATCATAAGGAAGATTTTTAGCAGTTCAAAGATTTAACATAGGTGGTATCATATCTCTGAACGTTTACATAGATTTCTTTTAAAAAAAACCAATCCACATATATAGTTATTCGACGTGAAAGACAATGCCAAGACCGAGAGGAGAGAGTACATATGTGCTGACAACTAGGAGTTATTGCAACATTAGAATTAATAAAATAATTCAGCCATAAATCTCATTAAGTATAATTGAATAATTCAAATCATAATATTTTTTCAAACCGTAAGAGATAGATTGCGTCATATATTGATATATAGTTAGAGACAAAGAAACTAAATAAGTTATATTATTGAATGGCCTATCTAAGACTTGTTTTAATAACAATCTAATCAGATAGCAAAAACATGTTATTGTAACACACTGCAAATAATAACAAATTCATTATTTCATACAGGTACAAGGCTCCTGCATGAACAATGAAGAATGAGTGTTAATAAGAATCATATTTTACGTTCATACGCTTCTAAAATCTAGTTCATTTCTAGCTCCTTCGTATTATTTTATAAGAAGCAAATAGTATAAGAACTTATAAAACCCACATGGAAATTACCCCGAAAAATTATACGCATAGTGGTTAATTGAATTAGGTCAAATTGCGCTACAAATGTTATGAACTTTATGGAGTCAATCAACTCCACGTAGTTTGTATTTGCTTTGAAAATGAAGCCGATAACTATACACGAAAGTGCCTGATAACGTAACAGATAAAAATTAACGTGTAAAACGTTTAAAGGTATAGACTATACTTAAGATTCTTATCTATATAATAAAAAATTAACGATAGTGACAGACAAAACAAATTTTCATTTAAAGTCAAATTTGTTGCGGTCAGGGAAAATGCTTCAATAACGCGGCGACAGTGTCTCACAAATCGTTAGAGCGTTTACATTAGTTGCTGAAACTGTACCAAACGTAAATAATGCCTGTCTGTGTGTTCAGTTGTGTGCGTATATTGTGATGTGTTCATGGTGTTGTTACAACTGTTATCTTTATTTTTAAAGGTCGGTACTTAATGGATATTTGTAATTTCTATTTCCATACAGAACAAGACGGCAGTGTTCGTTTATCAGCAATAACGGGTGATACAAAAAGAACAACGTTCTGCAGATTAGTAAAAATTAGTATTGGCATTTAGCAAGTATCAATATTTCGGTAAACATGAATACACTTGATCGCAATGAACGCGCTAATTAAGTATTTTCTTCGTAAAACTGTGGCTGTGAAAAAATTCGTCGTGTTAGTTGTGTTTTGTGCTATTTTATTAACAATTTATGAGTCAATTGTTCGAAGAGGAACGAGTCATTTCGACGAAATGTATTTTGTAAATAATTCAGTCTATGAAATGCAGCAACATGTGGAAATTACCAATTCATTTTATCATAAAAGACAGGTGAATAACGTTTCATAATATTATAGAGCCCATTAAAGGCCTCATTGTTTCATTTGCCGGGGATAACAAGAAAACACAAGTTGTGACGTATACGTCTGCTGTTAGCCCGGCTTTGACAGCTTAGGGGGAAGATGTCCGCAGGCAGACAACCCGCGGACTCGGGAAAACAGCGTAAGTGGTGCACGAAGTCTATCTGATGGTAAGTGGACACTCATGCCATAAAGTATAAAGGATAAATACTTCTACTTCATGCCCGCATTTTATGTTATACCCATCACCTTAGCCTCGTAGATTCATTGACTACCACACAACAAAAATTACTTGAAAATCTGGTTGTTTTTTATGAAAGCAACACTCCGATACAACAAATGATAACCGCCCCGGGAAATTAAATATATCAAACCATTTATTCAAATTTAAACTCCTGCTTTTCGAATACAACATTCATGGTCACGGGATAAAGTGGCCCGTTAGAAAGAGTTTTTATTTTATACATTTTTCTTTTAATCTGTAAGTATTGTACAGATTTGCACTTCACCAGGTATGGACGACGTCAAACTTAGGATCAGTTTTATTTAAAAATATTGAAATTAACATGTTTAAAAAAGAGTATCAAGAGAACAAAACGTTTACTATATTAATTTGGAAATACTGGGATTGGTTACAAAATCGACACTTGTATGGTTTTGGATCTTCAAGGTTTGTCATTTAGAAATATTTTAAATAATTTTAATAAGACATTATTATACAGCGTGTCTTTACAATCGCGACAATAAATGAACACACATATACATAACACTTCTTACATATACATAACATTTCTTTTTTTTATTTTTAAAAAACATTGCCATTACTTTAGGATAATATTATCCTGTGTCGTAATGACGTTTTACAAACATAAATTTGACGCAGACAAACACCCAGATGCGAAACAACTATCTGTAGGTCTCACAAATAGTTGTCCCGTGTAGGAATCGAACCCACGACTCCTGACGCCGAAGCCAATACCTTGGCAACTGCGCCACGGAGTCATCAAAATTTACATTCTTTAAACATCAATATTTACAGAGTTATTAAATTTTCCAAAACAAAGAATTTTAGAACGCCCTTACGTATAAAACTGTAACGTAAAGTTCATTTGTAAAGGTCACAAAGCATATGAATGGGTTGAATGAATTTAAAAGAGACAAAACATACTGTCAGAAGGAGAAGCTTGTAATGCGACGCTTTGGCGCGAGTTGTATAGGATGTTACAAATTTTATTTCTTTTTTACTTAATTAGTTTGTTTGAAAAATATTTTTTTTAATTATGGATTTTGTTTAACGTTAATATTTTTTTATGATTATTGGCAAGTAGCGTTAGACGTGTGTTCATTTATTGTCGCGATGGTAACGAAACGCTGTATATATACAGTTTTTAATGAACTATTATACAACAATTCAAATGCACTTATTATATTTTGTTTGAATCCATCATAGCTCTTTACATATATTAATTTGCACATATTTAAAAACTTTACAGAGTAGATTCATCATTAAAAGATTGCAGTGTAAGGAACTGTATATTTACTAAAACTGACCAATACTTGGGAAAAGCTGATGCTGTAGTGGTACATCTACAACATGGGATATTTCCGACAGCAGAAAAAAGAAGCCCTCATCAAAGATGGGTCTTTTTGAGTGACGAATCACCACTAAACACATTTTCATTATCAAAGGAAACACCTAAATTGGAACAATTGAAAAACATGTTTAATTGGTCGATGACGTACAGGTGCGTATATCGATAGCCCTTGACTTATACCATATGCTTAAAACATCCCCCGCCTGACTTATAAGACGATTAAACGGCGACTGAAGGTTTTCGAGCGATGAGGATGGGGATCTTGATCTTTTAGTACGAAGAAGAAGCACAGGGAAGGAATTTGGGGATTGGGGGTGTTTGCATCCATGGACCTAATTTACATAGAATCATCAGTACGTTTCATAAGAGTGGGGCTCAGGGCCCCACACAACGCACTGAGGGCGGGTAACGAGAATACCTTAAGTGGATAAAAGCCCCACATAACATAAAAAAACTCTGTATCATCTCAGGAGACAAGGTACATCTTCTCTCTTAGGCCACGCAGCAGCTTCTGCTATTACACAAATAAGCAGGTTTGTTCGGAGGTACAACGACTTCAGAGAAGACTGGCGTGAAATGTAAGCTAAGTTTTCGTATTTCGCCTGTTGAGTGAGCGAGGTAGCCGAGTTGTAGTACCCCGCAGGTATTCTAAGTTCTGTGGACTGTCGATAAGCTGTTGCAATGACTTGGATGGACAGAAGTTGGCTTTCACATTCTCACTTAAAAAAACATCCATGTGCGAGCCGGGCTCGCACACAAAGGGTTCCGTAACATTATCAATAAAAACGGCAAAAAAATCATGGCCGTTGTATGAGAGTCCTAATTTAAAAAAAATTGTTTTTAGTATTTGTTGTAACAGAAATACATCATCTGTGAAAATTTCAACTGTCTAATTATCACGGTTCATGTGATACAACCTATTGACAGACAGACAGACAGACAACGGAGTCTTAGCAATAGAGTCCCTTTTTACACTTTGGGAACGGACACCCTAAAAACATACGGCAAAGGCTGCTTAAAATAAACTTGTATTCGTTTTTTTAACTAGCTTCTTACTAACATACTACCGAAAATAGCTACCGAAATAAATTTGTAAAGCATATTTTATGTTAATTATAATGGGATTGTTTGACAGTTTAGACTATCTTCAACCCTACAAAAGCAGTCATAAATAATGTTCAATGAAAATATAGTGCATTTTAGCTGATCGAAAACATAAATTTTGTAATGGGATTTACAATTCACATTAACAAGTTAAATTGACCGTGCCATTTTATTTCTTTCATTTGCTTTTAAAGAAATTATAGCACCTGTTAAAATAATGGACACGCAAATTATTACCGAGATGGCTAAATGGATTTGAATGAAATTTAAGATGCAGATCCCTTATTCGCTGATACAACACATTTTTATTTCATAAACTCTATTTTTTATTAAAAACTAACCTTCAGGTTCCTCAATCAGTTCAGGATAGGCAGAGGTAACACTATCCTCTTTCATAGAGGTTGTTTTGGTTCCAAAAGTTATAAGCGGTAATCCTGTAGCAGTAAAGCTAAAAAGAGCATTTTATTTTCAGAATAAAAATGAAATTACTCTTACATATTTAATAGCTTTTATTTTTATTATTCCATTCCGTACCTCATAATCATCCTAATGTCATATGTACTGAGTAACTTAATTGTAGCAGAAGCCAATCCTTATCTTGACCGCAGTAAAGCCTCACCGAACTTACGACATAACCTGTACATTTCGCAAAATATTGTTTAAACTAATATTTTAATAAAAAATAAAAATTTCAGAAGTGACTCTGATATACCAGTACCATACGGGCGAACTCTACCGCTGCCGGAACATTTATTTATTAAAAAAGCGCAAACTCCCAGGAGCACTTTAATTCCAGGCTGGAATAGAAAACGTCGTGATGTTCTTGTGGCAATACTGATGTCTAATTGCGCAGTTTCATATCGAATGGAATATTTGAACGAATTGAGAAAACACATAGACGTCGATGTCCATGGGCGTTGTTCAGAAAATCTTAAAAATAGGTACAGTATATTTTTCTGATAGTACCCGGAGGACGTTTGTTGGATGTTTTTTTTTTTTGGTAAATCGTGTATTTTGGAAATTACATTTAGATACAAATTACTGAGTAATTAAATATGCATAATATTTTTCGATCTTACCGACGTAATAATAAGAAAATATGAACTGATGTTTTTCACAAAAGAAAGAACTTAAAAAAAAGGGAAAAAAATAACAAAATAAGAAATTGATAAGAAATTTAAAATAAAGAAAGCAATGATCTGGAATCGAAAAAAAAAGTAAAAAATAAATGTGTAAATGATCGTGACGCGAACCACGGCCGTCAATTTTGGGGCCGCCCGATTATGACATTTTCTCTTGCGGCGAAATTTACCGTCATATTCGAATTATATTTTTCATTCCCTGAAAACAGGGATAAAAGGGCATTTTTTAAAAATGAAACCTAGCTAGATCGATTTTTCGCCCCCCGAATCTACGCAAATACTAAATTTCATGAAAATCGCTGGAGCCGTTTCCGAGATTCCGATTATATATATATATATATATATATATATATATATATATATATATATATATATATATATATATATATATATATTGTTGTATATATATATATATATATATATATACAAGAATTGCTCGTTTAAAGGATAAAATTACATATCGCATCCATACCAATTCTAAAAATGGACTCATGTAACAAGTTAGAATGGAGAACTCTCAATCGTCAGTGATTGGGCAAAATTCTGATAACTATAACCTGTCTTCTGTGAGGTCGTGGTACTTACCCGAACGAACCTAGGCCAATTCACAGTGAGGACTGTTGCGTTGTCCTACCACAGTCAAGACAGCCTTTGCCCATCAGTGAAACATAAATATATGCTGTTACTTTACTTTTATTTTTTCCTATAAAAGCAAGAAAATTATAATATAGTGTGTATGGAAACGATATATTTACAGAACAGTGCCAAAAATAATTTCCAAAATTTCGATCCAGTATGCTGTAGGTGACTACACTCTGAAGGGTCAGTTGTGGCTAATGTTGAAACAATAAATGAATAATTATTGCAAATGGGCAAATGCAGTGAAACATTGTTAACAACTTATAATGCAGTTACGTAAAATGAAACAACAAAATCCGTACAGATAACTTACGTAGTGAAGTGTAATTCGAAAATGTTGTTTTAAGTAAAAGCAAAGTAAAGTTACTGCCCATATATATCCCGCCTGTCACTCCTTCTTTGTAAGAGGGTGTTAGGGCATAGTCCACCATACGATTCCACTGCGTATTGGCGGACTTTACATATATTTGAAATATTTTTTGTCATAATTTCGAAAATATGCAGGTTTTCTCACGGAGTTTACCTTGACACCGATAAGCACGTGATAAGTCAGTACTTAAAATTAACAATTTCATTGATTCCGGCACCGTGGATTGAACTCAGTTTATTCCAGTATATTGAATTGAAAGCACGCGACCGGTCAGTGCGCTTATCACGGCTCTTTATATTATTATTATTTTCCAATGTTTTGGAAGCAAAGGTGTGTGGGATATACACCTTTGCTTCCAAAAATTATACGCATTTAGGCGATAAAGCGATAATGTTGATAAATTACAAATATCATTTCTTCAAGGACATATTTCTATAAATAAATTAAGATTTCTTTTAAGTGTATGAAATTTGAATTTGGGCGTGGAAAATGCTTGAAAGTATTTTCAATTTCCTATAACATAGTTAATTTTTCTTTTCCCTGTAAATATTTCTTTCTGTTTGCAGCTGCCCAGGTCATTTTAGATCTGATTGCCCGATTATGTCAGACTATTTATTTTATCTGGTATTAGAAAATTCGATGTGTCGAGAATATTTAACTGAGAAAGCCTTTTATCACGCTTACCAAAAAGGGGCTATACCAGTCATAATGGGACCTTCAGTGCAAGATTGTGATCAAATATTGCCACCAAATTCTTTCTTACACGTCGATAATTATGCCAACCCCCAAGCTCTTGCAGCAGAAATTAAAAGACTAAGTAACGATATTCCAAAGCTACTTGCATTTCACGAATGGCGGAGACATTTCGAAGTTGTAAACGACCATGGTTATTTTGGATCAAAGTCTCAACATTACTGCAGAATTTGTGAGGCATTGAACTACAATGACGATACCATTAAAGTATATGATGAAGACAGCATTAGAAACTTTCTAGATCCATCACTACTATGTAAAAAAATAAACTAGAAACTAAAACTAGACAACCTTTTTTTCATATATTCCATACCATACTATATTCTGATACTTTTAAATATATTTCATATATTTAAGAGTGCCAGAATATAGTAGGTATATGTCTTCAAATCAAACTTTGTATTTATGTCTCAATATGCTTTCTCCACCACTGGTTCGTACTCTCTGCCAGTATTGGATGAATTCAATATTATAATTAAAATCTGTATGTGAAGTAGTCCAGTCGGTAATGCTTATTGTTTTCTTATGGAGATCTCAAACAATGATGTTTTAATTAACCGGGATGACGCATGTCCATACTGCGCGGCGTTTAAAATTGTTCCGCTTTAAATTAAATATAAGTGAATGTAACAGATGATATAAACCGTATGATAAGGAAAGTTATAGCAGTCTATAGAATTGCAATCTTATTACTCAAATTGCCGTAATTTGGGTGCCTCAATCTCACCTCGTTTTGTTTATAATATCATGGATCTCATATCTACGCGTATTCGAAACATCGGGAATTGTATTAAAAATAAATGCGATTAGATCTAAACATGATTTAGAAATGAACCGTATGAACTGTTAACCCGGCGGCTTTGTGCAGCTTTGCTTTGCTAGCATGCGACCCACGGACTCGAAACATGGTGCTGCTCTGAAACTCCGCTGCAAACACCCTTAAAAATAGAATGCGGGGGGGGGGGGGGCACAACCGATAAACATTAGAAATCATAATTTAAATCTATAGCTAATTATAGTTTTTACTCATCATGTCACCCTTGATCTGCAGGATTTTTTTTTTTTTTAACGTAGAAGAATCCTTAGTGGATAGTGAGCCTGTCAATTCATACACCAGTATTAGAGCTAAAACACCACATTATAAAAGCCTACCTGGACTTTCAGCCCTAACATGAGCAAGGATGGAAGTGAACCTCCTAACATTCAGAGCGATGACACTCTTCTCCAAAGAAAGCTACAGAAAGCAGAGGTGGCTATCTACTAAAACACCACCTCAGAAGTTCTAAAAGGAGCCATGAGGCTTCTAAAAGGAACATGGCGGCTTAAAATGAATTTCGTGGAACTAACACTTTCGAAGCAGTAGAATGAATGAATAAGCTGAATGTTCCGTCGTGCCTTACCTGGAGAAGTGGAGGTCGTTCTGCTGAGACGACCAGCGATAGCAGGGTCATGGAAGTGTGCGAATGGGTTCCGGTGGAACCTTGTGAGGGTTTTAGTCGGTGCGATCCTGCATACTCCGTCCCTCCCCTGTAAGGGCTGGTACGCAATGTCATTTCCCCCTCTATTCAATGCTATCAAATATCAATTAAATAAATTTCATATACACATATTTTAAACACATATATAGAAAACTGTAGTTGAATACAGCTCTCAACTACAAAACCTGAAAATGGTTAAAAGTATTATAAGCTATAAACATCTGAACTTGTAGTTTGGTAAAGTATCAAAAGATGGCGCTGTCTCACGAGGACACTGATAATTCTATTCTCGGTATTAATAAAGTATTCTTTGTTCCTACATAAGTACCGAGAATATATACCACTGCTGGTGGTAAAATTTAATATTCGATTGAATGATTTAAATAAACCGTCAAGGAGTATTAACATTCCCAACCATTTTTTTAAAGAATGATAACATTGATTCTGACTTCAGACAGGGATGCCAACTGAGGAATTTTCTTCTTAAATTTAGGAAGAAAAAATGTACAATGGAGGTTTTTTTTTTAGGAGTATTTCAAATATTTGTAGAAAACAACACAAAACTACTTATTTTAAACAAAAAATATAATATAATATTGCTGTGCTTCTTTAACGGACGTCAGGCCAAGAATTTTATATGTATATTTAAAAATCTTCCGCCCTAAACTATAATACGGATTATATTATGTCGTACTCAAAATATAAAAACATTGTTATTGATGACTGCGAGTCCTTAAAATATATTAAAGTCATTAATTAAGCAATATAAAAATGCCAAAGGTTGTTAAAATTGTCGTCGGATATGTTTACAATGAAACTTATTACTTTATGTATTCTAATGATTAACATATTAATTATTTTTATATTGTTTTGATTTTATTGTTAACATATTTATTTCTAAAATTACATGAAAATAATTTTTAAAGAAATAGTTAATTTTATCCCTCCCCATTATTTTACCTTGACAACAGAAAAAATCGTCATTTTACATTTTAGGAAGATTTTATTTGAATTTAATCATTTATAGTGAGTTTTCGAATTGCTTAAGGAATATTATTTTTTAGTCTTTTGCTTGCTCAGTCCTTTTGAAAAGCGATCTGAACTAGTGCATTTCGGACAGTGAACTAATTTATTATACCTGTACCATCATATTGTAAACTGTTGAGTTTCTTGCCGGTGTCTTCTCAACAAAAACATTCTGAACCGGTGCTAACTTACGAACGTATTAATTTCTATGTTTCGACTATTCATAAGAACTCGCAAGCGTCTATGTGAATAAAAACATTTTATTATGGGGGGGATATTCATTTGTTTTCTCGTTGATTGGGTTTATAAATAAAAATAAACATATACAGCGTGTCTTTACCATCGCGACAATAAATGAACACACGTCTAACGCTACTTGCCAATAATCATAAAAAAATATTAACGTTATATAAAATCCATAATTAAAAAAAATATATTTTTCAAACAAACTAATTAAATAAAAAAGAAACAAAATTTGTAACATCCTATACAATGCGCGCCACAGCGTCGCATTACAAGCCTCTCTTTCTAACAGTATTTTTTGTCTCTTTTAAATTCATTCAACCCATTCATATGCCTTGTGACCTTTACAAATGAACTTTACGTTACAGTTTTATACGTAAGATGTTCTAAAATTTTTTGTTTTGCAAAATTTAATAACGTGGTAAATATTGATGTTTAAAGAATGTAAATGTTTAATACAATTTTAAAAAGTTATCCTCTATATGTGTGTTCATTTATTGTCGCGGTGGTAACGACACGCTGTAGATTGCATATATGACATAGATATTATAAATAAAAAATAAACAAATAGATATAAATATTGTATATAATACATACATAAATAGGATCCAACGAGACAAATTTTGAAATGAACCTGTGTGCGTGTTAGTTGTGAAATTATCGCGCGTAAAATAAGTGAGTTGTCCATAAATCACGCACTTTTTGGATATGTTCAAATGAATGTATTTAATTAATTATGAGTGATTTTAAATATTTATCATTTTTATGTTTAGAATTTAATTAAAAAAAATGTTTACACTTAGAAAAGCCTCCCTGTATAGACAATAGATACCACACCCGCCTTTTGCGTCGTCAAGCTATAATAGTCATTACTACATTGGTATAAAACATAAATATCAGTCAGTCATATGGAAAGGATGAAAGTTTTTAGACCGTTTAAAAGGTATCATTTAAAAACCTTCCTTTTAGTACAGTATACGTTTTCTAATCGTTCATCAATCACGAACTACACAAGACTATTATTTTTGAACAGTTGGTAACACTGAAACTGAAATAGAAACATCAACATAGTGACGTTGACGTCATAATAATATTTCCATGCAGGTTCTGATTGAGTCATTTCAGTCAGACTCAGATTGCAGATATTCCATTCAAGTGCAAGTGAAATGCAAACACGTATCCCGTTTTTGTCTGGACATGTTTGTTTTGGTTTATTTAAGTGAACATAAAGTGAAAGCTTTTTTTTTACCAAATTTTATAACCGAGGCTATACTTTAAATTAAAATTTTCTAATTGGAATACAATGGAAACATATGAAAATTCTGGCAATCATAATTTCGAAATGGTCGAACATGAAAATACAAATCTTACAGAACATGACCAATTGGATAGTGTAGAAATTAGATTATCACCTGCACAAATACAGCAAGAATATTTTGAAAACTTACCTGACTGTGATTGGGTTAAGTAAGTAGTATGTCATTGTTTTAATGTTATTTAATAAATGTTACTTCATAAAACATATTTACTAAAAAAAATACTGTCAGAAGTTTTACTATACAAAGTTTTTACTATATAGTATTTTTAAAAATGTTTATTGTTCAATTTAATAATCAATTTAATTTTTATTATTCATGCAGATATGAAAAAAGCAATAGGAGTCATTTATTGCAAAACATTGCATTTGCTCTGTTTGGAGGCCCTAGTCTTGAAGGGGATTTTTCATGTTTTGGGTCACAAGATGCACATCTTGAAGGCTACACATCCAGACAAAAAGAGCAAGTCATAAGAATATTTGAAAAATTATGTGAACAAAGTATGTATTTTTTTATGAATGTAACATTACAATTTATTTATCCAACATTGACAAAATTAAATCTATCTTAAATTATTATATTATCTCATAAACCTAATCCACCCGGCATGGTGCCAAAAATGCTAGCTGCATTTCCTTACTGAATAATTATGCTTTAGCCTTTGAGTGAGAAAAGAACCAGCTCTGTATGTATGCCATATTAATATTTCTGATTGTAATTACATATGAGCGTCATTGTCAAAAACTGTTCACTTTATTTTATTTTTTTTTTCTTATTATTGTTTGACATTGATATAAACATGTATTCTGTATTATTTTGTGAAATTTACAAAAATGTTTTATTAATTATAGGTAAGTATTCTCAGAATGATGAGGATATTGTCATGTCTATACTTTTAATAGTATGTGCCAGACCGAGGCCTTTAAAATTTTATAAAATTGAACCATCAAATTATTGGTTAGACCTACATCAGAGAAATGACATTGATATTTGGTGTACGGCTGTGTTCAGGGTCAGAAAATGTATACCAACTACAGTCAATGGTATGTATTATTTGCTGATATTTTCCTACATTTATATTTTGTTTATGCAGTTTTGCTATGTAATTTTAATTATTATTAAAATACTTCCAAAAAATGTAAATATGTTTGTAACTACTAAGTTATTTAGACCCTATTGTCATTAAATTTAGTTTAAATTAAATAAAATAATGCAGACATTCATGAAACATGAAATAAATTTATTATTTATCTCTTAACCTCGGTCAAACTTAAATTTATATCAGACTAGCTGCTGCCCGCGACTATGTCTGCATCGAATAGGCTAAAGGAGTAACATTCAGACAGAAAGACAGATATATGTACATAAATTATATCCTAAGTTTTATTCTGACGTATTTGCTAAATTATTGTAAAGTTTCATTAAAATCCATTTAGTCGTATTTGCGTGAAAGAGTTACAAACATTCATCCATACATACAAACTTTCGCCTTTATAACATTAGTAATGATTAGTGACCCTACTCTTCTTCCCATGGGTGAAATGTAGAACATGTAGATTATGATTAGTCGATACTACAGGATATCTTTATTTATAGGATATCTTTATTTTAGGATATATATATTTTTTTTTTCATTGTGACAGAGCAAACATCTTTTTAAGATTTAAAAATTTAATTCTGTAGTACATTAATTTGATCTATTTTGTAAAGTTTAGCCAACATTTTCAATAAAATAAAATTTTATTTGCTACTACATCATGTTATAAATCTCTAAATTTCTCGAGTTTTCTCTATTACAAGATGCTGGTATGCTACATATTTAATCAGTATCTATTGGTGAAAACTAAAAAACAGCAGGAGCAACTTTGTTTTATACTATACAGTATAATAAAGATTGATGCAGAATGATAGAAAAATTAACATACTTATGTATATTGCAGCTAAACCATGTAGAATATACATTGATGAAAATGCAAGAGTGTACCAGGATTGGGATTCATATTTAACAAATAATACTCTTCCAAAGTGTGTAATAATAGTTCCAGAGAGTGGTGAATACAAGGGTACCATTATTGAGGTCTGATATAAATTAATACTACTAAAGGCCACATGCAACAAATTTAAATCATTAATACCTTTAAATAAATTTTCAATAAAGAATGCACCAATTATTTCTCTAACATATTTACTAAATAAATACTAAATACTCATTATGACAAAGTATCACATTATCATAAGCTTCCTAGCCTCATTCTCATAACTTTACATCTTTCTATTCAGTTTGATGTAAATTACTTTAGATCAAACTGAATTATTTAGTCATAAAACTTCTTGAACATTTATTATCTTTGAATCATTCAGTGGAGTAAAATTATATTTTTCAGGGTGAAAATGCATTTGCTGTAAAACTGAGTGTAGCTCCATCACCCACTTTGGGTCTCAAGGCCCGAGTACTAAGTTCCGTTGACACAGTAAACACAGTGGCTTCATTAGGAGCCGTAGGCGTTCTGGGAGTTGCAGCATTTACTCCAGTTGGACCAGCTATTCTAATTGGGGCTACCGTTGCAACAGTTGCAACAGGAATATATGGTCTTGTTCGTTCATCAATACACTTACACGATAGACGCATACATGAGCAGGTAATCTTATTAGAGATTAAGTTAACGATATTTTAAATCTTGATTCTATTGCTACATCATTAGCTCTAGAAAAGTATTATACATAATTACATAAGATTGGCGGCACACGAAAGTATTATCTATCCAAATTATCACTATGCAAAAAAATTTATGACAACTGACAAAGGAAGTATTCATCTGAGTTTCCGGTTTGAATGTGTTCAAATGATAATTGCTCATATTCGTTACTCTTACTTACTACTCAAAGCTCATCCATGCCGTTGCGTTATACACAGCCTATGAGTATCGGTGTATCTATATGCGGAGCTGGGGGTAATAATATCCTTCTCGCATTCGCAGTTCACTTAAAGCATATGCGAGTATCATTTATTTATTTATTTTATTTTATACGGTGGTAGGGCCACGTAGGCTAGTATAGCCCTGTAGTTCCGGGCTCATAGAATAGGCCTAAAGTATCTTCTGAATGTCGTAAAAGGCGACTAAAAGGGGACACGGATTGGCAGTAGCTCGAAGTGGCCTCAAGCTGCTGCAAGATGGCGAGGGAATCGGAGAAGCCTTAACCCTTCTCCGAAGCATGCTCGTACCGAGGGACAACGGTGCGTTCCATAGAAGATCCCGGGGTCCCTCCAAACGTACAGAAGGTGGCCACCAAAGGGGTTTTAGTGGGTACGAACCCCACATAACCCTGTCATGTAAGATGGCAGGGTATCTTTTGAGGATACCCTGTCATCTTGATGAAAAAAAAGGTCACGCAGCAGTCTCGGCTGTTGCACGAATGGGCAGGCTCGTCAGGGTAAGTACCACGAGCTCAAAGAACACCGGCGTAAAGTGTAAGTATATTACTTTCGCGTTTCGTCTGGTGAGTGAGGTGGCCGGAGCCCAATTTTAAAAAGGTTTGCAACGCATCTGGAACCCTCGGGTGTAACAGATATAATTGCGCGGCGGTATTCACTTAACATCAGGTGAACCGTCTGCTCGTTTGGCAACTTTTCACATAAAAAAAATACATTAATTTGATTATGAGTGCGCGTTGATCAGAAAGGTGAGAGCATATCAACTATTCTTATCCCACTACGTAATTGTATGCTTGTGTGCACGTCTGTTCTTACGCTGCACACATGAACGGCTGTGCGTAAGTACAGTCGAACTCCAAATAGTTTCATTGGGTTTGATTTATTTTGTTTGTGTAATTTACTGTTTCAGTTTTTTATTTTTAACAAATCTTAAAAAGGCTAAAACATTTTTTTTAAAATGAGATTACTTGATCAATTTACGAAAAATCTCAGTAGAGTAGTTGCTAAACTATTCACTTCGGCAAGTCCTCAAGTGAACCACAGATAATTGTTCAGGGTCTGGGCATTTGTTTAAAGGTAGGCAAACGGATGGTGGGTCATAAAAACCTTGCCAATATAGGCCATATTTTATTTATTATTATTATTATAATTCTTGGTAAAAACAAAAATATATGTCAAACAACTTATACTTACAATTTATTATGATGGCATATAATTTGCTAAAACTAAAAGTGGGTCTCATTGTATGATGTGAGAGTTAATTTATATTAAATTATAGTATTACTATACCAGTACCGTTATGACAAATTAATCAGTAGTCATGTTTCATATACTTCTTGTTGAGGTTTAGTTGTCTACTTTCATATTTACCAAATGTAATTATTATACAGATTGAATGTTTTATCATCATATCAGCCGTAGGATGTCCACTGCTGAACATAGGTCTCCCCCATTGACTTCCACTTCGACCGGTCGTTAGCGGCCTGCATCCAACCCGTCCCTGCGATCTTGGCTAGGTCGTCCGTCCACCTTGTGGGAGGCCTTCCTACGCTGCGCTTGCCGTCCCGTGGTCTCCACTCGAGAACCTTTTTGCCCCAACGGCCATCGGTTCTTCGAGCTATGTGCCCTGCCCATTGCCACTTCCGCCTGCTGACCAGCCACCGATTAGCTAAATGCGTCGAGGCTAACCGGCGACCTCGACGGCCCTGATGACCCCATAGCCCGCATTGCCACCCTACCCATAGCAGGGTCCAAACCCGTGGGTTCTGGCTACCCACCGGTCGCGTCTGAAGCTTTATGTCGGGAAAAGCAAAAACATCAGTTAATACAAGAAGCCTGCTGACTCGCTCTGCTATGTCGGTAACTCTAGTTCTTCGGATCTCCTGATTTCTGATTCGATCTCGTAGAGAAACCCCGAGCATTAAACTTTCCATAGCGCGCTGTGCGACCGCGAGCTTCTTTATGAGGCCCATAGTGAGAGACCACGTCTCGGCACCGTAGATCATCGCTGGTAGCACGCACTGGTTAAAGACTTTCGTCTTTAAGGACTGTGGTATTTTGGACGTAAAGACGCTGCACAATTTCCCGAACGCAGCCCAGCCGAGCTGGATTCGTCCAGTCGATTTGAGTGTTTTATTATTACGATAAATTAAAGTTCTTATCTTAGAACTGATAAACAAACCAACCGGACAAGGGTTGACTTGATTAGTGATAATAATGTATTTTTGTACATTGTTTTCGATGTATTAACTTGCCTAAATATAGCTGATTCTCTATTACACAGGATTAATCTTGTGTACTTGAAAGCCTCCTTTTTTACACGCTTTTATTAGCTTGTTATGTATGTAACGGAATCTTCGAACGTGATTTTGACCCATTTCAAAACGTCGAATTAAATTGTAACTCTGCAGATTTATGAAGGAATGATGACAATGCAAAAATTTTAATAGTTTGTCCCATTATCCTGATCAGGACCTCCAGGATTAGAGATTTTCCAAATCCGATGCCCGGTAGTGTCTTAGTGTCTAGTACGCGTTTTTATCGTAAAAATCCATTGTTATTTGAACCAAAGTTGATATACAACTTTATACAAAGTTACAAACTCGAGTGAATTCTGCTTTATAGGGCTAGAACGTATTAATATTTAGTCTGAATCGGTTTTAATAAAGACATCGCTAATCAAATTAAAAGCAGTCTAGCCCGAGAAGAGTCTAGCAATACTCCTCCCTCGGATAAGGTATAGGTTCATCCGCCGGTGCTAGGTGGTATTAACGTCACGTCGACCTGCATAGCGATTGCAGCAGAAATCACTAGAGTTTTAACCAAACGGTTCAATTAAAGAACCAAAAGCCTTTACAACCATATGGTTATGCACGCACCGAATTACCAACTCAAAATAGACCGACCATTTAAAAACGCTCGCTTGCTCAACGTCGTGATCTGTATGTAGGTCAGGGAAGAGTTCATAGGTTAGACGGCCCCACCGCTATACAATACTAGACACACATAGACTCTTGAATAATCATAAACGTATTGAAAGCAAAAATATCAGTTAAAGTAAAGATATAACAGCAAGACACAACAGTGAATATAACCCTGAGACGAAATGAAAGTCCTTCAACTCTACAGTTATTTGTCACTTACTTAAAATCACATCTTCAAACTGAACTGCCAATTCGTGCAAATCAAAGTTTGTTGCGCGACCCTACCACGGTAAATGTTATTATTACCATGGCATAGGCTATTGTTTACTCGCCGCATGATTAATTTTATCTTTGTTGCTTGACGTAACTAACGCTGCGCTCCTACTATCGATAGTTGTTTCCGATCGGAAATATCGATAAGTGCGTTTGTCCGTTTCAAAGTTTAAAATGAGTTGCTGTCCTTTCATTATTTACGAAATTTCTTATTTTCACACATTCTTTCAAGAATGGTATGTTCAATTCCTTCTGTAAAGCAGACCAAACGCAAAATTATAACACTTCCACTTTACGCTTATGGTTCGTGGTACGTCTAGGGCGACGTGCCCATTCGTGCAATAGCAAAGACTTAAGCGTGGCCCTACCATTTACCATACCATTTTTCATTTTATAATCTATTTCAACTTCAGATTATCATTACTCGTTTTTTTTTTTATGTCACAATGAATTTTTATTTTATAAAGAATTGTTTAAAGAATTTTGTTCCGTATCAGGGGTCAGCCTTAGCCTACTAAGTTCCGTGTCAGGTTCGCGAACATTTCACGTTACTTTTCTTAAATTTGTACTTTACTGTTCGTCATATTATTTATTACTTTCTATTTCAGTATGATTTTGTTCCAGTGGTGAAGATTGATCTCCCTCACAGACTAACAAAGCATGATCATCTTCACTTGATATCCATTGACTTGCCTCACATTTGCGAAGGTCGTCTCTCCTTCTAGTAGGAGAGACGCACCGCGAGAACTTAGCTTTCTTTAACTTAAACGTTTTCTGATCATAGTTTATAACTATACATAGTATGAATATGTATACATGGTATGGATATATAAAAAGTATGTATTTATGCATATCAATGTTCATATAAGCATTCTTTAAAACATTTCACGGTAGCGGATGTAAATTAAGACGAGGTCGTGATCAACACTTGATTACAAAAAATGCTCATGAGCCATTTTTAAAACAACTCTTACTGGTGACTTATCTGATTCTGATACAAACTTTACATTTACTTTAACTGATGTTTTGCTTACAGTCCGTAGAATACTTAGCTTTATCGTACCTAAGCAAGAACTCATAAACTTGATATTGCCGTCCACGTTTTTTGGAGCCGCTCATTTGTTCGCGCGCATTATCATCAACGGGGGTTTTGTCATCTACTGTCCATCGAGGATCGGTACGTACCGTGACCCCGATGGCCGTTGTATTAATCGGTCGCTGGGGCGATGAGTCCCGCCCTGAAACGTGGGTGTACCTTGTGTGTGCGTTGGGCTGTGGGTCATGCCATATTTTTTACTCTTTACATATTACTTACATGTTACAGAGTATAAGTCCGACGGACGCAGAAGCACGGGGCAGTTGGCTTAACATAGCAGCATCCAGCGTGGGCCTCGCAGCCGGCGCTGCTAGCACCTTTCTCTCCCGTACCGCAGCGGCGGGTACCAATTTGACCAAGGTCAGTGACTGGTCTTCAAGACACGCTTTATGACTTTGATGGAGCAATGACAGCTAACAATGCACGTAGTTTACTTGCAGCACGTTCAGTATACTCTGGGAAAAAGGGTTTAACTGGAGGATTGTTCTCTCGGTGGTTAGCAACAAGTCTGCACTGTCACGCCCCCTAGTTGCCATCTCTTTGAAATAAATTCAGTGGATCTCACGGTGGCATGAATTGACCTACGCTTGACTAGATGTACCGGACCCTCAAAACATTGCGAGTAAAGTTGAGACTTTACTTCTATGTTTTGATGGTCGGAAAGATGAGGAGAGAGTAATGGAGGATTCATATTTTAGTTTCGTCCTTTAACTTAGGAGACCAAAAGGAATTAATTAAAATAAAACCTCTCGAGAGTTATTGGTGCCCATGAATAATTGCAATCATCTACCAAAAAAGTTTATAAAGTTTCAATATTTCAATACACAACTTTCTATGTTTAAAAGCTGGGAGTGGGGGAAGGATAACTTCATGGATAGCTGTCATTTGTATGCGTTAATGATTTCAATAAGTTATTGGACATTAGTAAGCTGTGACGATGGGCAGCTATATAACTCGTAGAACTGATAACCAATGGGGAAGATAGGTTCTCCAGTGGCAGCCTCGAACTGGTCAATGCAGTGTAGTACGACCCCCAATAGATGGACCGACGACCTGTGCAAATATACGGGAAGTCGATGAATGCAAGTGGCACTGGATCAACGTGGATCGTGCTTCGTGGCAATCTGTAGGGAAGGCCTATATCCAGCAGTGGACTCAAACAGGCTGAAACGATGATGACGACTGAATGATTACATAATTAATCGCATGTATATGTAGATCTATAAAAAAGGCAAATGTGATATGCGGTGGTAGGGGCAAGCAACACTGTTGCATGAATGGGCAGGTCCGCCCGGGTAAGTACCACAACCTCAAAGAAGACCGGCGTAAAGTAGAAGTGTTACACTTCTGCGTTTCGTCTAGTGAGTTAGATAGCCGGGGCCCATTTTATTTAAAAGTGGCAACGCATTTGCAACACTCCTAGGGTCCATGGGCGGCGGATATCACTTAACATCAGGTGAACCGCCAGCTCGTTTGCCACTTACTCACATAAAAAAAAATTGTGAAATATGGAAATCGCGTTCTTGGTGAGCATGCTTACTCTTCAGGATGACAGATACAAGGTTAATGTATGCATGTTTAATTAATTCCAGACTGGTCAAGCCTTAGCCATCTCCGTTGAAGTACTGCGTCATGCGAATATTATTACTGGCGGTGCGGGTGTTATAAACAGTCTTGTGCATATTATTCTAAAGGTATTAACAGTTTTAGCTTTTCATATTCTAAATAACATTATAAACATTCGGTGACAAATGCCAAACTTATATGTATACAGAAATTTATAAAAAGGGAACTGGACATATGTTAAAAAGTACTAATATAAAATACCTCCTTAAATTTTCACTAAAACTTAATCGGTGTTTAGCAAATCCTGATTGACAATTAAATTTCTAGTAGTGCTTATTATTTGTTGAGCCATCACATGGAGTTTTTTAAGTGAGTCTTAAGACTCAATATTGCAAATATAATAAATATTAGGGTTTTTTTAAATGAGGCATCAATTAGCCCTCTAAAAGCAGCCTTTAGTGTACAAAAGAATTCCAACAGTTAAAATAAGTTCCCCTCTCTTTACTTTTTACTTCAATGTTTATAAATTTACCACTTTTAAAACATGTTAATTTGTACCTTAATTAAAATTCTCTAAGTAAAATAGAAATCGGAACTTGGCGAAATTCATAAATCAAATGTGATTAAAAAATAATCGTTTCGAAAACACAATTTACAATTTTAAATCTTCACAGTATCGCAAGCATGGTGAGAAACCAACGAAACTTGAGCTGTTCCAATTCTCTGCTGCAACACTATTCTTCTGTCACGCTGTTATGTCTAACAGAACGGCACAGAACATAATAGAGGATGCGCAAGCGAATACCATTAATGAGTACAGGGCTTCTCTAAAGAGCAACAGGCACAGGTGAGGCTGGAGTAGTAATTAAAATTTTTTATATGTCCTAGTGTATTTTACCAAAATTGATAAAATAATAATACATACTGAAAGAAATGCATTCGCTGTATGTAAAAGGTTTTATATATATTGTATATGGGTAATTACAGCCAAGTAAGTCTGCATAAACACCAGCTGTCTAAGATTTTACTATGATAGAGCATCTTCTGTAAGCTGAATTTTCGTTTGTTGTTTGATATATTAGATAGCCGGGCTCATAATTTCAGATTTTGGCATTACATTTGTAATATAATGTGTAAGTATTGTAATTATTATCCTTATATAATGTTACAATATATTATGTGCAGTGATACATTTCCAACTTACCATTAGGAACTGTATGTATAGAGATTGACTTGCATTAAACTAAGTTTCCAAACATTTTTTCAGATTTTACATAAGTATTAATTAACTTCACTTTCATATTATTTTAGGAAGATATTTGACAAAATCAGCGCTGAATCCAGGAGAATACAAGGCACTGTCCAGGGCAACACGGAGGTCATAAAGGGTATAAAGAACATCGCCAATAAGGACCAGTACTTCGCGGATGTGCTGCGCATAAACAAAGAGGTCAACCAGCACAAGCTAAGGATATCGATGACAGCGGACGGCCAGGTTAACTTGAACGCCCAGCACAAATTCGACCCCTCTGATTTGTACAGCATGGGAAAGGACGGCCGCGCTGAGCTGTTCTCGACCCTGGGCCCGGCCGATTTGACCGCCAGGAACGTATCGACTAGGATCGCGCCCGCATCGTCTGTCGGTCAGTACGTCGACGCCAAAGAAGAGGATGGCACGCTGGTCGGCATCCATCCGGGCGAAGTCATAAGGATCGGCACGTACCTGGTGCGCGTCAGCTCGTCCGGTGCGGAGAGTATCGCGAACATGCTCGAAAACCTAAGCCAAGAGGTCTACGCGAACCTGATCACCGTGTGTTTCAACGTGCTCTCGAAGCTGCTGCCCGAGGAAATCGCCAGGCTGAGATTGCTGAGCCCGGACGAGGACTTGATAGTGCAGATCGTTAAGTTCGTTTTCAACTATCTGAAAAGCGAGCGGCCCCTCGGCGATCCGTGCAGACACACGGACAACGGCATATTAGTGATACTAAAGGAGTTCTTCCAAGACGGAAGAGTACGCCAAGACACGATTCTGCTCCTTAAAGACAGATTGGTCTCTTGGATCGAGGAAGAAATTCGTCGGAGAAGTGTATTGCGCCCCGAAAAGATGCAAGTCATCTGTAGTGCCTGTCAAGGCGTCCGTTTTGCATGATTTACGCTATACTTAATCACTTACGGAAATCAATTGTCTGTTTTAGAAACAATTTATATATATTTGACCATGAGGGACTATTTAACCATACAATGAATATTTTTAAATATTTTCTGATATATTATTATTATATCAAATAGTACATTTATATTACTATATCGCTATATTAATTAGTGAAAGGTACAAAACACAGTTCTTTAAACAGTCACGATTATAAAAAATTAACTTTAGTTCAGTAACCAAGTGTTTTTAAGAGTATGAAATTTCATTCACACATTTATTAGCTTCTTATTCTTTCTACGGTCTATTGTTGTTTTGCGAAAATACTCTATAATCCTGTCACTAGTGATTTGTCTTTTCTGTAATTTGGTAATTTCGGGGATTTAGGTAAATAGAGTCCTTCAATTTCAATCAAATAGGCAATGAGAATGGAGTCGGGCTATGGCACAAAATATTTGTAAGAAGCTATTTATTTTACCAGTAAATTTGTCGTTGATTCTAATAAGATATTAGATACTTTGATGTTTCTTTGAAAATTACTTCATATAGTAGCAATATTGATTACAATTTTACATGATTTTCATCATTCATCTTAGTATTGCATGGAAATCTAATGAGTAATGTCCGAGTGGTTATCCTTTATATGGATAAAATCCCTTTCCTTTTATAATTGTAACAGCATAGACTTAATACCGCAAGGGTATTTTATTTTTTACATATATAGGTCATTACAATGCTCATAATATTTATGTCTATGTCTTAAGGCCCCACTCTGACTAATTTGCAAAGATCCATCTTAAAGACGTAAAGAAATGTAAAACTAGTATGGCGCTTATGTATTTTCTTGATTGCAGTTCCTATAAATTTCCAATAATTGCTTGCTAAAATTAGATTACTTTTAAAAAAGCAGACTTAAAAGTATCGTTGTTTTCATTACATTCGGCGCGCGACTTTAAATTAGTTTTATTACTTTAAAAGTATTATGTATAGACACATGTCTACATTATTAAATATTTTGAAATGTTCCTAGTCGGTTTATGTTCGTAGACATACTGAAACATATCACAATATACGGCCAATTTTAAATCCAAAAATATTTAATGGAATTTTAATATTTTTAATATACTGCAGTAATTTGTAAGAATATTTATATGTACAAGTTATTATGATGTAAGTGCACTATGATAAGGCTATCAAAATATGTATTTTTATTGTATTTAACATACAAAAACACTGTGCCTTTAAAAATGCCTGCTCTTCCTTCGAATACATTTTATGGGTTTATGAGTATTTGTCGTCTTACTGTAGAAACTGTCCTTTTTTATTTAGTTTGGTGCCCGCATGTTATTTCGTTTTAATATTAATTATTCTATATAATCCCCTAACCCTTCTTAAGCACATGTATAAGATGGTTTAAGAAGTTCTAAAATTGCAATTGAATTCTTTAATAATTTTCCTATTAACATAAATCGTTATTATTTCTTTTTTTTTTGCTAAAAGGTGGAAGTGAGCTGGGGGTTCAACCGATGTGATAACCGCTGTCCATGGACATTTGTAACATCCGTGGGGCTGCAAATACGTCGCCACCTTTTAATAAAGTGGGCCCCGGCTACCTCATTTACCAGACGGAACGCAGAAGTGTAACACTTCCAGTTCACGCTTGTATTCTGTTAGGTCGTGCATGGTGCTTACCCGGACGTAAACGAAACGAAACGTACGGACGAAAACGTACGTCTTGTGCAAGAAGAAATGCCATTATTTGAAGACGTTTTATTAGTATTTTTGGTTTCAAATTAAATAGTTCAATAATTCACAGAAGGTACTTTATTTGTATCCAAATGTTACATATAAAAATGCGTCGAGTTATTTTTCGCCTGCTTCAATTGGTATTGACGGATTATACTCGAAAAATTTCGCTATGAAATACCTGTGAAAAAATAATTACATGGTTCATCGGTATTAAGCAAAGCAATTGCTTTTAAATATCCTAAATCCTTTAAAACTCGTATTGGGGGAAAAAATTTAGTATTGTGCAAAGATAAACATTACTCAGTACTAAAAGTATGGTGCACAATATGCTACATTTGTGAACAAAGCTTGAACATATGCGACTGCTGAGAAACGGTCTCTGTACAGAGGGTATCAGGACATAGTACACCACACGGCCTCACTGCGGATTGGCGGACTTTACGTAACTTCGAAATATCTTTTTATGATTTCGAAAATATGCAGGTTCCCATTCGATGTGGATTCGATCCCCGCTACTGGTAAAGTATTGTGTGCTGAATATAGTGTTTTTCCAGAAATCTTACAAAATTTACAAAAGAAAAGAATTTTTATGAGTTATCTAGTACCCAAAGTATAAGCGTTGCTTGGTTTGGGACTAGAGAATGCTAAGTAAAAATGTGTCCTAAATATTATGTCATAAAATAAAAAATATTTTATAAAAGTGCTAACTAGGTAACGAAGAAAACTTTATATGGGATATATTTATAATCTGTTGGACGAATGGGCAGACTCTTCCAGGGAAGCACCACGGCCTCATAGAAGATCGGCGTGAAGTGGAAGTTTTATAATTCTGCATTTCATCTGGGTACACTATATTTTTAAAGTTGGAAATGCATCGGTATTACAGCTGTCTCCTCATCGCATAAAAACTATCAAAAACATAATATACATACAGTTTTGTCATAATACATCATTTTATTACTAGTAAGACCGTGACAGGTTAGACGCATTGTGATTTTGGGCTTTTGTTCGATCATTCCGTTTAGGATCGAGGAGTTTTGAATCAATGAGTCATAAATATTTAAATGGCGGCGAAGTACAAACCATACTAATATCTCGACGGTGATTAATGCGCAGGTCGCAAATGTTTGCGCCACGATTTTGCTGGGCGGCGCGGAGCTTCGCAATATGGTTACCAATAAAGCGTCGCTAGCATCGGAGGCGGTCTCCAGCGCGGCAACTAAAAGCGCTGGGGCTGCAAGCCAACGGGCTCCCCGTTGCCACCACGATTTCTGACCGAATAATATAGTCATTAACAAAAAAAACGACTTCAAATATCATTGTACGTCTCCGGAGTCGAGGGTCCAATATCAATGAAATTAATAAGAAATCTCAATAGAATATAACCTTTTTTCATCTTTTTTTGTGAGAAAGCGACAAACGAACTGGCGGTTCACCTGATGTTAAGTGATTACCGCCTGCCCATGGCCCATATATGACACCCGTAGGGTTGCAGATGCGTTGCCACCTAAAATTAACCTAAAGTGGGCCCGCCTACCTCACTCACCAGTCGAAACGCAGAAGTATGGCACTTCCACTTCACGCCGGTCTTCTGTGAGGTCGTGGTAAAAACCCGGATGGACCTGCCCATCCGTGCAACAGCGAACACGGTTGCATGGCCTTACCACCGAAACCGTGAAAACTTTCAACTGGCAACGGACTCCGCTAACCAGAGACCATGGAAGCCAGGAGAGCTAGCGCAAGTAAGCAGAAAGCCTCCCGGCCCTTAGCAGCGGTCCAAGTCAATACTGTAAGAAAATGGGGCCTGCTGTCTACTATCAATTTATTCTAAGGTTTTTCTATTATTCTTAGGATTCTAATTTTACTGTAACTTTTATTATGTTACCTTCGACATTACAGCAATGAGTAACAGTAAGGAGGTGATTGCAGTGACAGTCGCGCTAAACGTCCCATATCCGATCACCAGGCGAATGGTTGGCTTTGTTATTCTGAAACAAGTGTAAAATAAAGAAATAAAAATTGGACTTTTTCTGTAGTCGGACTACGAATCAGTGTTGTTAAATTTTTAAATTTGACAGTAAATGTCTTATAATTTAAAAACACAGTGATTTACTGAAGAATTAGGAGTATTACTAACCGAATAACAGTTTGTTATTTTAGAAATTTGTCAAAACAAAAAGTTTCTAACATTGTGGTCTTTTTGAAGGTTTTCTTCGTAATTACTACTATTATTTACACATTGTTACGTTAAACTTCACGATTTTTCGGGTTCTACATTGATTTCTCACTCTAAACATTTTGAACGTGATCTCATTTTTGTTTTAGATTCTGTTAGAGCACGGTCTTACATATAGGCATACATACAGGCTTTTAAGTCCGCAGAATTTCAATAGTAAGGATTGACTTAATGCGTTCTGCCCTAAAACCGTCCATTCACGTTGGTGTTTGCACGGCAGCGGCTCGTTTAATATAAAAATTGCATAAACTGAAAGGACTAAATTCATCCCATGGGCTATTTTTTTTTGGAAAATATACAACTATTAATATAATAATTTATTTATGATATTGCACAAAATAAAAACAAGCAATAAAAGAACCAGAGTACAATAAAATTAGCTTAAATATAGAAAAAAAAACGTACGTAAACAAAAAAGTAAAGCTTACAACATTTTTATATTACAAAGTTATATCATTGTAACCTACCAAATACTTTAAAAAATGAAATAACCTTAAATAACCATAATCCCCAACTTGGCAAGCCTAATGGTGAAGTATAAAATAGCGAGTAGGCCTTTCACCTGATGTTAAATGAATACCGCCGCCCATGGACATCTGCTACACCCGAAGGTTGCAGATGCGTTGATAACCTTTTCATAATTGGGCTGCCTGACTCACCAGACGAAACGCGAAAGTATTTATTATACTTCACGCCGGTCTTCTATGAGATCGTTTTACTTACCCGGACGAACCTGCCCATTCTTGCAACAGCCGAGGCTGCTGTGTGGCCCTTCCATAGTAAATTGCATTATTAATTTTGCTGTCCTATCATAAAACAATCACTTGTATAATTTGTACGAGATTTAAGAACAAATAAATGAAAACGTCAAACTCACCGCCTCGCAAAGCTTACGTTGTTCAACTTCTGTGCTACTTCGTTGTCCTCTAATTCAAGTTCAACGGGTTGCGAAGCGATCGCGCATACAGACATTGATACCCCGAAAAGTGCCACCATAAATGCGCGCAGCTTTGTCCGAATACTCTCCGGATTTTCGTTGCACACATCGTTCAACTGTTAAAATTTTACGTTAAATTATATACAGCTTTTGACTAAGAGCGACTTCGTTGCAATTTAACAATGATTTGATATAGGCTGCGTAATGCGAAAATATCATATTTTACACGTATATGGAACGTATCTCATGATTTTATAAGTTTTTGTTGTAGTTTTGCGTCATACTAAGTCTGAGTATCAATAATAAACTTTATCGCATACGGGGTTTATAGGTAAGGCAATTATGTTAAAAAAATTACCACAATTGTCGTAATTTGAGTGCCTCAGTATCGGTGAGCTAGTGTCTTATTGTATTGTAATTTTTATATAATATCATTTACAATTATTCATTTGAAATTACAAAGTCGATTTAGTCGATATTTTTTAACAATAACTAAATACTACAAACTATACAGAGAAATAATTTTATCCATTATTTGTACATTAAAACATGTAGAAAAAGTACGAAAAGATTGTCGCCGCTGTGGGAATCGAACCCACGTCTTCGGCATTCACGGCCTGACGCTCTAACCACTGAGCTAAACGGCTGATAGCCACAGCGACGAAAATCTTAACGCCTTCTTTCTACATAGTTATTTAGCATTTGAAGCAATGCTTGGCGCATCTATTGTTATATCCTTTCCAGCATACAACCAATTTCGAATATCGTTTTACAACGATAATTCGAACGAGAGATGTCGCCATTGCTTTTTATACATTTTTAAAGTTTTTTATAGTGCTAATCTCTGCATTTAAGATTGAACATTAAAACATGTAGAAAAAGTACGAAAAGATTGTCGCCGCTGTGGGAATCAAACCCACGTCTTCGGCATTCACGGCCTGACGCTCTAACCACTGAGCTAAACGGCTGATAGCCACAGCGACGAAAATCTTAAGTGCAGAGATTAGCACTATAAAAAACTTTAAAAATGCATTATTTGTACGTTTAGAAAGGATGAATGAGAAAGGACGGATATAGGAGGAAGGAGGAAGAATTTCTTAAACATATTGATTTTTTGATTTTATTAATAATGTTTTCATAAACATGTTTCTACTGTGAGGCGTTTAAAAATTGCTCCGCTTTACATTATTAAATGACATATAAAAGTGAATCTGGCAGATAATATAGAACGTATGATACTGAAAGAGAACACTAGAGTTGCAATCTAATTACACCGATTGGCATAATTTGAGTGCCTTAGTTTGGGTGCGCTAGTCATATCTACTTCTTATTTATATGAAATATCATTGGATTTTACGCGAATATTATACATATTAAATGACAGTAATTTACAGATTTTTAGTCATCTTTGAAAATGGCACATTGAACAGGAATTAAAAATCAAAGTTATAATGCGATAAAATCCGTCAACTTTTGGCTAAAATAAAGGTTATTTGGTAAATGTAAATAACTTTAACTCCGGCGTAATTCAATTAAAATAAATTTTAAACGATAGAGAAAAATCACTAATGAATTTATCAACAAGCAGAATTCGGCGGTCGCTTATAGTTTTCGAGAACTGAACAGAAGAAAATTTTAAAACTTGTTACTTTTACTAAGAAATCCACCATTTTATTTATTTGACTTCAAAAACTCTTATTTTAATTGAATTACACCAGAGTTGAAGTTATTTACATTTGCCGGTTATTTTAATGGTAGAAGCAGCTGAATTACAGATTTTAAGAAATAAAACTATAAACAGTTGATATGAATTTTTAAAAGATTCTATTGTTTAATATGTAATGTCTATTAATTTATATGAATATTGTAAAGAAAGTTGTTGTATCCATTACCTGGTTTTCTTTCTTGTTTTCTGCCCCAAATTTATCAAAAAGTAAACAGCTTCCATCCTCCATTCTGTTATCAAGTGCGATGACACTGTTTTATAATTTCAAATAATAATTTTCGTTATCATGGTCTAATATTGGTGTTAAATTTAAAAGCACAGAAGTTAATTACACCATTTTGATTAGATTCATCAAATGTCAAAAACATTGAATTGATATATTATAATATTTCTTCGGTTCTTTTTATAAGTGTAAACGCCAGGTGGCGTATAAACACATAAAAACTCATTTGTAAACCAGTCGCCTCACGTTAAGTTACTGAACTTAAGACATAATCATTCAAGGGTTACCTTACTTTCACCATTGATGCAATCTATGTAAAACCACAAATATTAATTTATTCTTAGTGTGAAAGTATAAAAAATAAAATAACTTATAACTGATCCCTATAGTTATTGTTCTGTTGAACCTGTATATATATATATATATATATATAAATTAAAACATTCTGTGATATTCTAAAATAAAAGAGTAACTAACTACTACACTAATAAATCAGTTTTGGGTTAACAAAAGGACCACGTAAAAGTTAATTTAGTACCTTCGCCTTAAACTCTTGCAATGTCAACAACTTAAATGACTCAAAATACAAGAATTAAGTTATAAATAAGTAACACGATTGAAGATAGAGAAAACTTTCTTGGTGCGTTTAAGGTAATTTGCGTTAATTTAAAATATTTGAAATAGAGCGACAACATATCACATACAGTCTATAACTAAATAGATCAAATAATCAGTTTTTCTTTTGTTTCCATGCTATAAGGGTTACTGAAAGTGGGCTGAGCTACTTACCTCTATCCACAACAGTTACCAGCAGGGCAGGTGGTAGTCTTGCGTTTACCAATTTAATAAACAAAATTGTTTACCGTCCTGATCTATCTATGCCTTAAACTTTTTCCACACCCATCCATTGTAGTTCGGAAATTTCGTAACAAGATATAATAATTTTTATAGTAAGGGCTTTTTGTAAAGCTCGTAAAGCATTTTCAGGAGTGTCGAAAATAATCTATATGTCTAGTTTTATTGCGTATTATATTCGAATATTGTAAATAATAAGTCAAAATTAAAAGGAATCATCAACAGTACAAGGATTTGAAGTACAAAAATATTTCTACACTATCATGGATATATTAGATTGATGTTGCACCTAAAACCAAAAAATTATAAGTGAAGTGTCTGAAGAAGATGACGCCGTCGTAATTGTGATCTTTCTAAGACATTTGACTGTTTTGATCATATAATTCTTATTTGGAAATTGAAATATTATGGTATTCGCAAATCTGCCATTGACTTTTTTCCCTCGTATCTTACCGCCAAGGAACAAAAAGTAATCTTGAATCAAATATTGTCATCGGGTTCAGTAGTACAAATGGGTGTTTCCCTGGGATCAATCCTGGGTTTATTTCTGTTTTTAGTTTATATTAATGATTTGTTAGAAAAAAGATTTCCAATAATTTTGTTAATAACGCTGCCGTCTTTTCCATAATACGCTATATCAGGCTGCTAACAAACGAGGCCACAGCTATGTTTTAAGAAAAAAAAAAAGATAGCTCATTGGATCGAGGCCTTGATGATACTCTGGAAGTACCGAGGTTTAGACTGGCTAAAACCAGAAAGTCGTTTCTCTGTATTAAATGGGCCTATTGTAATGTCGAAGACCACATTGACGTCAAGGATGTGTGGAAATGACTCTTACTCTGCACTTGTAAGTCTCCTGGCTGCTGCTTATTTTGTACTTAATACATCTATATTTATAATTTTTTTTAAAAAGATAACATCACTGATTTTCTTAATGGTTCTTCTCTAGACAGGTCTGATTAAGAGAACCGGTGGATGTTTTTTGACGTTCGTAAAGATTTAACGTTCTATATGATTGAACGTATATTTTGCCACCGTCGACCTGTTGCTGTCCATTTTGCGCACACTGCAGATGTGCTTCTGAGACTAGCTTTTGCCACAGTCGGAAGGAATTAGTAAGTTAAACGCCGGCCTTTTTGACTTTTAATATTGTCATGGGACTGTCTCTGTCGACCCACGCGTTGTGAGCTCAGACTCGCAATGCGAGATGGGGGTGTGACCGTGAACTCATCCCGCTCTCCCCGATGAAAGACCTCCCATGGGTCCGAAACTAGTTTGTCCCTACACCGATTGATAAGAGTTTCCTTTAAAAAGGTAGTATTCAATCATTTTAATGTATTCAGATTTATGCTTTGTACTTTGAAAATAATTTTATAATGTCACGTATTTAAGCTTTTATCTTAGATGTTAACTATTAAGCTCTGCCTTCTAAACGAACATTGCTGGACGTGTGGAGTGGCAGCCCTTTTTCAAATTTAAAAAAACTTCTCCCCTCTTTAAAGGGTGTCAGTTTCGCTCAGTAAAAGCATTGCGCATAACGCTCCCTGCGTTATGCGTGATGTTGAAATAAAAGGTAATGAATAATCGAAACGAAAGTTGTTTTTAAAGATCACAAACACATAAGTATCGTCTAAAAACACAGAACTCTTGACACCAGTTGAATAGCATCAACGCTATCGCCATTGTTTTTTCTCTGAATTTTGATATAGAGCTCAAATTGATTTTGGTTAGGATAAGGATTGCGTTTAGCATTTTGACGAAAACGATTATAAGATGAGCTGTCAGATGTGGAAGGAATAACGCTGGATTTTTCTGGAAAAAATTTTTGAGACAATTATGAAGAATTTAAGTAAAAACCCAAACAAAATAAATTTTGACAACAACAAGCTTTTATGTATCCAATACACATAAATTTAGTTTAACGAAATATAATGAAAGTTTGTAGCTACAATAATGAGAAATCATTGTACATTATCTTTGTATCTACAATAACGATAATTATTGTGGATACAATGATAATGTATTTTATGTTTGTGGAATAATTAATAATTCCACGGACAATATTCTCCGAAGAAATCAAACAAATAGAATTCTTTTTTAATTGAGCCACAAAGGGGAATATCTTTATAATAAAATTCAGAGAGGAACTATTGTATTGATTTCAGCGTGCCTTTACCGTATCAATGATTATTTTTAAAAAATTGACGTCCGTATGTTTGTATATACAAAAACCAAAACTAGCCGATGAATTATCTTAACATTTGTATAGCTATTGAACACGAGAGTGTCTTTGTATGCTTTTTATTCCAAATTTCCAACGAAGACGAAAAAAAGGCCACAGCGAAGCGTGGTCGGGTTCATCAAGTTTTGCTATAAAAATGTAGTAGGATTATATAAGATATCAAATTATTTCTTACTGTAACACATCCGATCAAGAGACAGATATACTGCAGTATTCCCATTGATGCGCCAATGATCTTAATGTCATGAATAACCAGTGGATTTTGTAACGCCCTCATTCTGGTTTCACTTGCATTTTCGAGAAGAACTTTGCCGAAATTCCTTTTCAAATGAAGAACACTGATGAACTGAAAGCAGAATGAAACATAACGCGGTACTGTAACTATAATTAAAAAATACAATAACTATACAATAACGAAGTTATCATACAAAGCCTAGGGTTCCATAGAAATATGTATACGGGAGGCAAATATAAAATGTGGGATATTGACAGAACGCTTGAAGGTATTTCAAATGAGGCTTAAGTAATGGTGCTAGCAAAATGTTGAAAGGTAACTTCATTGTAAGTAAGATGTGTTTAAAAAATAAATTTTATAATTTTATCCATAATATCCGTTATGTCTAAAGCACACATGACATTAAAGGCAAGTCGAGTATATATGTCTTATCTATGGGCAAGTCACAGGCTAAATAGATGCCGCGTAGAAAATGTAATTTTTTTTTTAAGTTCGCAGCATAATAATTTTGTATTGCTGAAGCATTATCATTTACAATGTTTATCAAACTAGAAATGTAATTATTTATGTACTACTACGTATGTAATTAAAAATAGAAATACGGTGATTAATCACGTGCTTTGTGTGAACGAAAACATCGTGATGAATATATGCTGCATATCTACGAAATTATTATGACAAATACAGCTGTTTATAAATCTGCCATTCCCTAATAAGATCGCGGACTTTCTTATTATAAAATTCATCCGAAGGAGGTCTTGGCCAAGCAGTCGGATATAATTATACAGGCTATTATTTAATTTTAGTACGAAGTTTTAAACACAGGACAAACATAGCAATATTTTAAATTTAATGCGAGTGTTATTTATGTATGCTAAACAAAATTTAACGATAATTATGTAGTCTGGGAGTTTATATTTAGGTCTTGTAAAAACACTTGTAAAGACACGGCACCTATTTCTGGAAATGGTTTTGGTGTAAATCTGTTATTAATTATATGTCCTAGCTAGAGGACCATGGTGCCGCGACGCCGGTTTCGGGTGATTTTTTTCATAAGATTAGAGAAGAGATTTTTGCCGGGTTCGATGGCCACGCTAGACCAATATTTGTGCAGCCCATAGATAACTGTCCCGGATCTAGGTTTTTGTTGTCAAGGAGGGTTGACGTCAGGCAGGCGGCCGAAGTACGTATAAAATTATTAAGAACTGTTTCTGAAATGGGATGCCAGATCCAGAGGTAGGGTTACTGAGATGGGGCCACGCAACAGCTTCTACAGCAAAAAAGTACAGGTTCGTACGGACAAGTACCACGTTCACACAGAAGACCAGCTTGAATTAGACCTACTTTTGGTAGTTTGTATTATTATTTGACTTTTTCGTTTTGTTAGAGATAATCGGGTGCCACTGTTTTTAAGGTTATCAACGCATCGGCAACCCTAAAGTGTTGTAGAGGTTCATGCGTAGCGGTAATCACTTACCATCAGATGAACCGCCTGCTCGTTTGCCAACTTTTCCATAAAAACAGGTATCTGGGGACATTTGAAATGACGACCCAATTAGCGTAGTGGATAGTGATCCTGTGTCTTGCGCCAGAGGGTGTGCGTTCGATCCCCACTACTGGAAAAATATTGTGTGATGAATTTTTCCAGTTTCTGGGTGTTTATATATCTATAATATTTATTTACAAAAGGAAATTAGGTTTAAGTATTTTATCAGTTTTCTAGTATTAATAGTACAAGCTCTGCTTAGTTTGAAACTAGATAACGTTGTATAAAATATGTCTGGAAATATTTTTTTACAGCCTAACTTGAACTTTTTCACTATTCTCAGCAATTTCTAGTTTGATTAGAATAAACATTTTTAACAGTACGTAGCTTGCCTATCGAGAAAGGAGTAAAATATTTTTACGAAGAAAACCTTAATTTCGAGCATTTAATTTATAAATTGAATTTAATTTAGATTCAATCACGGCCTATTGTAATAAAATAATACCTTATCATTTACTTATATAGAACAGAAAAAAACTATAATTGTATTTTAGTTCTGTAAATTTATATAAGTCAAATAAAACATTTCAACAAACAACTTCCCAATTATATGTTGAAGTCGAATAATCATCACAACGTGAAGCCATAAAATAACCACTATGACAATTTTATCAAACATCATAGGTAAATCATATCACAGAACATATATATTATCACAATACATTTCGTTTTTAAATAATCCAGTGCACTGTGTCATCAAAGCTCTATTAACAGTGAACGTTGGACTAACTCCTTGAAATCCACAATCAACTAAATAAGCTAATAGTGGATGGTGTTTAGATGGTGCTGCAACAAAAGATCCATCCGAGCTAATGGTAAGAACTGGTGACATTCCTAGATGATGGTCAACAATATTAAAATTTTCATAAATTGTTGCAAGTGGTTCTAAGTTATCGTGATGTCTTGGTAGATTTATCGGGTCGGGTCTTAATAGAATATTATCGGACATTATCGATACGTCATAAAAGAAATATCCCTTTGGATACGATTCGCCCGGGACAGAAGTATTGACAGCATTTCTTAAATCTGATTTCGATTGATTTGTACCGCTAAGTAAAGTAATGGATACTTTTTCAGTGCTAGAGGAATTAATATTTTGCCCTGTGTTACTTTTTAAATTATTCCATTCAGATTGATTAGGAACGGATTGATTTGTATGATTCCCTTGTGATGTTAAATTTTCGGTATAATTCAATATCTTTGTGTTTTCAGTCGTAGCGATTCCTAAGGCCATTGCGTATAAATCCGTCTCGTTTCCATGGACTTTATCTCTATTATGACGTTTATTTCTCTTTGACTGAAGCAAAGGTGTTTCAATGGACACATTAGAACCTAAAAGACTATTACTAGGCCGTAGCGATCTGTTGAAAAAGGAATTTGTTTCGTTCAGGACGTGGTTAACGATTAAGTAAAACATCGTGAAAAGCTCGTTTTGCTCCTCTTGATTAATTCTCTTCAGTACGTTAATATACTTTTCATTTTCAATTCCATCATTGTGCTGCTTTAATATGGCAGAGACAGCCCGATCCGGATGTCTATGCATGCTAAATATATTGTTATACGTAGTCAAGTCCATAGCGATACCACCATTCTGCCACACTGCAAATATTCTCACATAAAAATTGAGGAAGTCTTTAGGAATTTGTCTCCATTTATAACGATGGGGCGTCAATGCCATATATTTGCTTAAAGGCATTATTGTAATATTAACATTGGGATGTTTTTTCTGAACGTTTCTAATTTCTCTTTTATTGTTCTGGTCAAATATGCTGTCGTGAGCAATGTGAGTAGGTTGTGCCAGTTTTTTAAACAGTTTGATATGTCTTGTATTTTGAGAAGAATCGTCCAAAAGAAATATTACATTTATATTAAGTAGAGGATATTGTGTTGCTACGCTTGAAATATAATTTGAGTAAACCATAAACGGAACGTAGCTTCCTCCTGGAATAATATGATGATAGAAAACTGTACTGGCTTGCTTTGAAGCATTATGCTTGGTAATAAGTAAAGGTTGTCTTCGAAACACATTCACTCCCAACGTAAAAAAGGCAAGGAATGATATTCCAAAACAGAACAAAATAAAAGCTATCCAGCAAGCCGAGAAAAACTCTGAAAAGGAATTGGATATTTTTAACTAGCCGTGTATTCATTATGTGTCAACTTAATGATAACGACAATGTATCATAAGGCATAATAAGGGAAATAGGCAGTTATCGTTTTAAATGATTGCTGCTTATTTAATATTAGAAACGTATTAACAAAGATATTAATTTCTTATAATTTATAAGATATGGGAAGAAAAACTTGTTAATAGCTTGCTAAACAAACTAACCAGGCCACCGGTCTATCCAGGATCGTTTTGGTGTACGAGTAATATTGCAAACCGAAGTGACGTCATTGAGTGGGGGTTGCGAAAGGCTAGTATTGCCATCGCCGCCTCCGCTATCGGCCTTCAGCAAGGGATACTGCTCCCCTTCTTTCGCCTCGATAAGCTCAGCCATCTGATACAGTTCATCGCTTTTAAATTCACATCAATCGAAGTTATCTGGTTTGGTGTTAGACAACAGAAATCTTACGGATTAATTTATACAATGTTATACTCGGAACAATTATATTCCTATATTCATGTTGTAAAATTACGATGTTGTTAGTGTATTCAGTATCAATGTTAAGTACCATATTCAGTACTATATGTGTTATCAGATAATAAACGTGGGATGAATAAAATCAGTGTCGATCGTCGCACATATTATGACAGAATAAACGACTATAAATTTACGTGAAATGCTTCTCAGTAACTAACTTCTATTTTTGCAATTTGATAGTATGACAACCTACAAATATTTATTAATCTGGTATGACTTTTTAAGTTTGAATAATTCATTTATATCGGATTCAATCATCCTGGCAATCTAGAATAAAAATTAAGGCGAAAATTAAATTACCTTACAATATTTGTACTCTCTACACAATCATGTACGTATAACACTTGGAATGACAAGTATTATTAAGACACTAAGAAATTTTTCAATCACTAAGATTTTGTTTAAATTTTGAATTCTCAAATGAACGATACAACTTTTTTAATGTTTAAAAGAGGTTGAATAATTCGAATTGTCATAGATTAAAATATTTTCGATGTGAGGCCGAAAATCATTTGCAATTAGATTTTTAATATTTTGAATAAATATGCAATTTATACATATAGAGCATAAGCTGTCATCTGCTCAGCTAACAGCTTGTTTCAAAAGTTAGTACAATTTTCTATTAAATTGACAGAGTTCCGTCGGTTTTTGCGAGTTTCAAAACAAAATCAGCTATGAGCCTTATATCGTATTTAACGTATAGTTCTTGAACATGCTGTGTGGTGTTCGGGATTTTAGATTATACTACAGCGTATTTTATCAATGCTTACATTACTCGTATCGTAATCCGCGAATAGTTCCTTATCCTAGAAACTAGGCAGAATAATAATTTATACAAATAATATCTTTGCAAAAACATGTCAATTCCAAAAAATTTACTCTGCACGTACAAATGTGGCAAATAATGCAAGGGTATTAACATTTGCAGTATTGTTTCTTAATTGCTAATTTCACCTTGAATCGTCTTGCTGATTCAGAGAGAAATTGTAAGAACGTCAATACGTGAGTCAAATAAATTATATCAACAATATAACGCGGAAAGTGTAAACGTTGCCGACGTTACGAATTTATTAAAAACTTCACGCATCTGAAATATATTAGTCTGACATAACACTTAGTACCTAACGCGGTCATAAACGTTGTTTTGCGTTCTCCAATCCTTTTGTAATTTTTACATCTTTGAAAACATTTTTAAAGTAGTTAAAATAATAATTTCCTTTCACAATGACGAAATAAGTTTTTGAGTATATGTGAAAATTATTTAAATCATAAGAGAGGTAAGCTGTTTATGTTATCATTGTATTAATTAATAAATAAATGCTAAAAACAAAAATTATGAAAATGATATTCAATAGTGCTATACAAGCGTGGAACTTGATTTTTGGGAGAGAATTGGATTCATGTTTGGCGAAGTCGCAGTTTGAACATTATTATATAAGTCTAAGATTTTCATTTTTATTGCTCTTTTGAAGTTATACTTCTTTTGGCGCGTTTGGAAAAAATATGAGAGCAAAACTTTTACGATGCGCGCGCAAACCGACCCTCGACAACGACATGATTAAGGCACGATATTACCACGGCAACCAATAACAACTTTCTGACATTTACATATAATTTCAATACAACCGTTATAAATTGAATAACATTATTCATAAACAAACAACGGCACAACACATAAAATGTTTACTTATTTTTGTTTTGTTACTCTAAAGAAGTATAACTTCTTACGTGCGTACCTACACAATGGACACACACTTTTTTTATTTTTTTTGGTCAATTCGTGATAGATACATTTAAGAAACACTCAAGAATAGTTTTCAAAAGAAATATATCTATGTAGGTAGTTTTGGAACGGGTCCTAGGATCCGCGCCTGTTGCTATGTTTGATTTTGAATCTTCTTCACCTTTTTAAATTTATAAATCAGATATGGCCACTTGCATCATTTATTTATTGTTTAGATCTAGTAAAATAGTAAATTATCTCAATAAATAAAATGAATGTTGGTAATTCGGATAATTAATTTTTTTGTATATTCCAAAGTTTAAGGTCTACGGAAGGTTTTAATACTATAAAAAAAAGAAAGAAAAAAAAGAAAGAAGTCTGCCCTAGTAACTAAATGATCTAATGTATGTAACTATTAATTATCGTATTAAGAAATTTATATTTGATTTGCGTTGTCCATAGAGATTGATTTAAAATCTCAATCATTAAAATTAATTTCGCTCATCGAATTTTTAACATTAACAAACACTTTGGCATATAAGCATATTACAAAAAACATTAAAATGTCAATATTGACTGACCGATGAAAACTCCTGTTTGATCAAATACACAAAATCAAAAAACAAATTCTTTATATTTTATGGTGTAAGTTATTCAAATGTGCTATTTAATTGATACTAAATTTTATATTTTTTTCTTCTGGACACCTATAAAATCTATTTGGTGTCGTTACTTATTAAAATAAATGTAATTGTTAATTACTTTCGAATACTCTTAACCAATTTTCTATTATATTATTAAATAAATACGGTAGGTTTCTAAATTACCGGAAGTTTACATAGTGTTTAGTTACAAATTCAGTTTATTTAACACAGACCTCCTAATAATACATATGAAACAAAATAAAAGAATGAAAACGAATAAAATTTACAATTTAAAGAAATAGAGTTGAACTTTATTGTATACTAGTTATCATAATTTATATAACGATTTAATTTATCGTTACCTCATCTACCGCAAGGTGAGATTGTAGTCCTTAAATCACAAAATCTCGTCAACTCTAATTCTAGTAACACCAATGGCCAGTGATGAATGAAATCTACCGAGAGCAACGCCCGTTATTATGCGATGACTTCTCAGATGACGACCTCAACACCCAAAACTGCAGTCCACGTTCAATTAAACGTATGCGAGCGATTGTCTACAGTGGGCAGGCGAGAAATCAAATGAAAGGAGCTGCTGTCATTTTAAAGAGCTGGCCAGGTAAAATCAAACTAAATCATATCGTTTTTCCAATGTATACCTACTTATTTTTAAATATACCATTACTACGGTTCTACATAATATATTGCCGCACCTTGACTCAAATAAGCTGAAGAAATACCAAGTAACGATTTAATTTATCGTTATCTCATATGATATGTCAAAAGCAACTAAATTTCATGTACCTTTTTAAAAAGTGATCCGGTAAACATTTAGAATATTGCGATAAAACATTGTGTATTGATAGTTCCGGAGTTAACCTTTTTTACCAACTAACGACTGAACTCTTTGAACAAATTTTTGGAAAGAAAAAATTTTAAATCTTATCAAATTTTTTCTTAAAGCAGCCAGCCGGTGAGAGCTGATGACATATAATATCCACAAGCTACTTTACTCTTGCACAGATTTCACAAGCGGAATACAGTAGAAGGTTTTTAGAATTTAATTGATCCGAACTGCCTATAGAACGCAGACTCCTGCCATGCACAACTTTTCAATAAAGTTCATTGTATAGAGCGAACATTAATTTATAATTCACCAAATTCGAATAAAAATAGTTTGCTTCCCAAAAGAATTTATGCCTTACCCACCGAAAAATGTTTTTAACGCACTGTCGGACTGCCGCAGCATCGGCGAAAAGCAAACTTCATGTTGGAATTGATACAGGGGGCACCGACTGGTCGTAGGTAAAACACCGTCCAAGTCACAACAGGTTCCCGTATAAGAAGCTTATTTCATTATTTTATGACAGGTTCGGAAGTGTTGGATACTCTTGTATCTTGTATTAACTGATGTTTTTGCTTTCAGTCCCGAGACTATTAAAGCTTCATCTGACGCAGAACCGGTGGGCTAGCCAGAACCCACGGGTTTGGGCCCTCCGCTGTGGGTAGGGCCGGGCATGTGCTCCTGCGTGCGTTTAACTACGACATGTCATCTAAGGGCCATCGAAGTTGCGGTGCGGACCGAGACCCCGATGGCCGTCGACTATGTTTTTAGCTAATCGGTGGCTGGCGGCGGTGAGAACCGCCCTGGAACGCGGGTGTACCTTGTGTACGCGTTGTGTTGGTTTCGCCGTGCTCGTAGGCGAGGGCGAACTATTGTGTTTGTTGGTACAATAGCTGTGGGTGTAGTGTTATCCGGCGGGACCCCCTGCGGTGGGTCCGAACCTGTTGGATACTATTGTTTTATATGACGTTACAGGCGGAAGACTATTTTTATGTTCTTTTTACACTTATACAACATTTTTGATAAAAATAGCAAAAAGTAGGCAACACGAATTTCGAACACTTAGAAATTCGTTTTGATTTTTCGGGCGATCATTATTTATTTTATATTTTTATACTTTTGTTATGAACTTTATCGAGTTATTCCATGTTACGAAGCATGTTATTCCATTCGAAAGGAGGTCCCCTCCGCCACCTCATCACAACACACATAGATTTCCTTTTGTTATGAATATGTTCGATAAAAACAAATGTTTATAATTGTTATTTTAAGTTATTTATATTATATTACAAATTACTGCTTTTAACAAATTTTTTTATTTTTGTATTTTTTTCATCATTTTTCTTTGTACTTTTTGGTAATTTTTATGTTAAAACATTTGTTTTATGTTTCAAGGGTCCAGCTTAGCTAAAGGTGACAGAATAAACAGCCTCATTAATTGTTCTTAATTTAAAATATATTCATAGGAAGTATTAACAGGTAATTTGAAGAGTAAAAAATTTAAATTAACTGTTTCTTTTATTTTCAGAACATTGGTGGTCGGCCTTTAAATATTGGTGGATGGGACTAGGCATGATCGCAATCGTAGTTTTAATTGTTTACAATAGCGTCATCGCTTTCTCAATGCTTCCAATGGCGTATACAA